TTCTGCTTTTTTTTACGAAAAGGAAGCAATATTATACGAGTGTCTGGAAAGGTCACATTGTGATTCCATACGTTCTACCAGAATTGAAAGCGTGCTGTTTTTGCATGCTGCTTTGATAACCGTTTGTAACCCGAATTTTGAAAATTGCGGACTTATGACAGTTCTTGGTTTATGTATTGCACGAGGTTTTATCTGGTTTTATGCTTGTGATAAACACAATCGGTGCAGATTATGATCTAAACTATGCATATTGGATGTTGTCACATTATGGCTCATGTGTTCCTGTACACGGCGAATGAGAACGACCCAAATTTGAGTTTAGTTCACTCATAATCGCCAAAAGTGCAGGAACTCAGCGATGAGTAAAATTTGTTCATGGTTTTCTGTGGAAAACCTAAAAAATCTGCCGGAAAATGAGGAAATTGACGAAAATTTTATTCAGTCTCGGAGTAGTACCAATAGACGGAGTGAATCCAATCTTTACTTTTCTCAAATTCGGGAATTTTTCCCTGGAAAAACCTGGGAAAACATGGACAAATTTACTCATCGCTGAGTTCCTGCACTTTTGGCGATTATGAGTGAACTAAACTCAAATTTGGGTCGTTCTCATCGCCGTGTATGTTTTTATTTTATTTATATTTAATATCTGTTGGGTGTGGCCTATTTTGCATAAGCCATTGTAGTAAGCATTATTTTTTTAAATATTTTTTAAATTTTGCTTCGGTGTTTAGAGACTGAGAGTCACTAGAGTGTGGAAATGTGACGTAACAGATTGATGAAAATGAAATTAGGGCCTAACAGCTTTTGTAAACAATGACTTCTTTTGATGATTTCTAGAAATTCAAGGCTCACCCACGCAAACCAACATCCTCATCGGGTAGGGAAAGACTTCCCCTATCCGATGGTAATGTTGGTCTGCGTGGGCGTACCTTGAATTCATAGAAATCATCGGTAGAAGTCATTGTTTACAAAAGCTGTTACGCCCTAATTCCAGATTGAGATTGAGAATCTTTTAGAATTGAGATTTTTTATTCAATCTTGTGGGGATTGAATGAGTTAGCGTTACGTAATTTTAGGGGAGGGAGTCTTGTCAAATCCGGATTTTTTACGTTACATAATTTGTGTACAGAATAATCCTAATTATCGTCAGAGGATTAAATTAAGATAGATAGATCCCATGGTGATCAGCAAATCCTTAATTTGCAATGTCCCGGTTTTTCCGGTATTGTACGATATACATTTAAATTAAGTATAAAACCGAATGCGATTGAACCAAATAGACCACTAAAATTTTCCTGGATCTTGTATTTGGTTTTGTCTTCGAAATTGGTCAACTACCTTGACAGTCACTGAAAATTATTATTGTTCTAAAGTTCTTTAAAATCATTTCCCTCCTTCAGAGTTTTTTGGAATTCCGAATAACATAAATTTCTTTACACCAGTACACTACACAGTCTTTGTGGAATAAATTAAAAATGTCATTCATCCTTTGATTCTCTTCGAATTTTAAAGTAATTTCTATGAATTTACTAGTTTAAAAAAAATTAAGCTTATTTCCTTTTGATAATGTACTTGAATTCTCCTAGAATTCCCATGTTATTCATCTCAGGTTTGGAATTTTTACGAATCCAGAATCCTTTTCTCAATTGTCATGGAATTTTCCACAGAGCTACTTTAAAATTTACTCTGAACTCTCACAATTGGCTTAAAGTTTTAATCAAAACTCTCGTAGATTTCTTCCCAAAACTCCCTTAGTGTTCTCTGAACCGCATTGGTGTTGTCCCAGGAATCCATTCTTAAATCTCCTACAAATAGCTAAAATTCTATATATGTTTCTTGTAAGTGACTTTATCCTGAAAATATAGTCCAGTCCAGTTCTTGAAGCTTTGTCAAAGACCATCAATTTTTGTTTTCGAAGAGAGGAAAAACTATAATATTTTCCGATTTGTCATCAAAGTTCACGGGTTTTTCCCGGTTTTCCTGATATCCCGTTTCACTGGTCCGTGTTATTTTTTTTTCACATAGGGATGCATCATATTTCAGTATATCATACAGCTAACATTGATCACAAAAGGTTTTTATTCATCCGCTGCCAATATGAGTAAATAAATGCGTAACTGGTCCAAGGAATAGGATAATAGGCAACGATGGAACAATTTTGTTGTTGATGAGAAAATGATGAAGACCTAACGGGCCCCGTACAGAAGGCCGAATCACAGGGGGGTTGACAGTTATCCACGGCCCAGACAAATTTTAAAATTTTTATATGGACAATTGTCTTCGTATGGTGAGGGAGGGTGGGGAGGTGTGGCTGTCTACGTAGTTAATGAACAGTCCGCCCCGTAACGTGGGTAGATCACCTTTTCGTGGTACGTTACGGGATGTAAGATCTACCACCGATTCCTAGTCTTGACTACTTCAAACTAGGGGAACAGGATTTTACAGTAATCAAAGTAACACATCTTAGTCCTTGTTACTTTTTATGCCTTGTTGATAGTGATAAGTCCTCGGGTTGCGTGGACCGAGGATGATCTTGAAACAAGGAAAAAATGAGTTAGTTAGTCTTCACCTATTCCTAATCTTCTTTTCGTTGTTTCCTAGTTTGAAGTGGTTAAGACTAGGGTTCTGATGCATGGTCATTATCGGTGTCATGTCTTGTTTTTTTTTGCTAAGGAATCCAATTTTGACTGACAAAGGGGCGCGCCTTTGGAGGGTGTTTCAACACTCCGAAGGGTATAAATAGCGGGACCTTTCAATTAGAATCGATTCCTTGCGATAAAGGCAAGAATGACAACTGTATCAAAACCGAATACTTCATCATTTCTCAATAGTGATGGAGTAATACGACATGCACTAAACTAAGGACACGGGATATACTACAATAGATCAAATTACTGGTCGCAGTGGTTTTATGTCCCGAACAGAGGAAAAAAAATGAACAGTCCGTAAAATAACACTGTTATCAAATAAAAAGCAGCTCACGCGACCACCAACGATCGACCAAAACAATCTGTGGGCAGTGTTGCGATATACCGTTAAAAAAAGTTGATGCATTGTCCAATACTCATATTGTTCGTTTAACTCGTATAACTTAAATTATGCACTCATAATGCTTAAAAACAAACAAATAATGTTGAAAACATAAATGACCTATGTAACTGTGATTATAACAAAACGTCCTATATAACATGTCCAATGTACACCTGACAAGAGCAAAATGTCCTATGTAACATTTTTCACGTTTTCATGTATGAAACGGGTAGATTATAATTTCAATTTCAATTTTACTATCGCATAAAAGGTCTTAAAAATGTTAAAAGTTGATTTGGTTTAAAATAGTATCAAAAAAGATTTTCTCGAAAAGAGTGAAATGTTAGATAGGACCTTTTGAAAAGTTAGGCGAGATTTGTTTTCCGTCGATCTTGCTTTCCGTGCTGAGCACCAATGCTACCGACGCCAGGGAGGCAGCTCCCACACCTGAATCCTACCTATCGACCCATCAAACCGGGGACCAACGGCTTTACTTCCCTTCCGAAGGAAGGCGTGATCAGAGATGTTATGCCTCAGAACATCCCGGCGGCGCCGACTGGGATTGAACCCAGGTCTGCGGGGTTGAGAGGTAATGACGATTACCGCTACACCACCGGTGCCGCTTACGCAAGCAGTTGAATTTGTGTAACTAGAACGTTCAGCAAAACGGACTATGAGCAATATCGCTGCTAATGACGATTTTCGATTTGAGAATACCTCCCATATTGAATTTCATCTTGAACGAAGCCATCATCTCAAACATCTGGAAACATTATGCTAACCACAAACGAAGTGACAGACGACTAACTGGCGAAGAAATCCATTAAAATAATGTGGTTCACTGTAATAGAATTTTCTTGGAAGCTTGTGCCATCATCCACCAGATGGGTTAGTTTTTTTGTTTTGATTTGAACAAAGTTGATTACAATGATTCTTTGACAGTGTGCAAAGAGTGTATCATTTTGTCATTTTTTTATGCATTTCAGTTTTGAGTAGAGTGAAAGAGACAGAACCAAAACATTCTAATACATTTGGTGAAAATGCTAGTACAATCCAGTAGTAGTGTTGCCATGTGGTACACTGAAAAATTGAAATAGCAGGTTAGTCACCAAAGTTTTCGAGCCGCTCCGTCTGTCACTTCGTTTGTGATGCTAACTATCACTTTCTCTCTCATTCATCATCTGAAGCCTTTCTGCTCTTACAGCTGAGTCACCTCGTTGAATTGTTCGCATTCACAAAAAACGAAGCTATCTTGTCATTAAATCGTCAACCGGTGGAAACTAACGATTTTAAATTGGCTCACTACTTTACTAGCCTATTGGTCTCAATCAAATCTATTAACGTATCCCATTTTAATCGAAATTCTAGTACTACACTATGTTTGTTTTGATTAGCTATGAAAGTTTACAGATAAAATGAGGGGTTCGTTGATTTTCCTATGTTTCGAGGGGTGCATCGATTAGCTTGGGATCGAAGATTGTACCAGAGCTGAGCGAAAAAGTTGAGCACATTTCTTCGGGACCTTCTGGTCTCAGAGTTACCTCTATGGTTAAACACTCAAACAAACATAAAACTAAAGCTAACCAAATTTTAAGTTTTTTTTGTTTAATTTTCGATACGGAAATCGAATGGCTATTAAGGCTGTGTTCCATTTGGCGAATTTTCACTTAAACTTGACAGATGGAAAATTTCCAAATAAACCTGCTATTCCAGCAGACTTATATCTGACAGACAAGGAATCAATTTTGACACACACCTTCTCGAAAATTGACCGATCAACAACAGAGGGATTTTCGAACATTATAATTTAGTTTCGAAGTGTCAAGTTTAAGTGAAAATTCGCCAAATGGAACACAGCCTAAGTAGCTTCCATTATATTTTATTTCGAAGATGCAGAATAAAAATTATTGTAACTCTACTTTAATAATGTAATTTAATTTATTAAAAACATATTAACAAAAGCCCGAATCGGGAAAGCGACAAAGTGGACCGGTGCGAGCGTGCGAGGTCCCGACGTAACAAATCCTGAGATTCAAATTATCCAATTGAATAAGTACCCCAGAATCAACAACCAATGGGAAACATAGTCGAGTCTATGCCATTTCTCCAGCGTGTGCTTGAATGAGTATCCTTCTGTTTGTAATTGAGAGTTAGCATCAAATATAGCTCCCAAATATGTCAAATTTATAACGCACAATATAAAAAATATGCTATTAATAAAAATGGTCATTGCTTTGTTTTGGCTTAACTGATGCTTTGTACATGGCACTGAACACTTGTTAACTAAAACACACGCTGAAAATATTTGAGATAGTTTGTTCCGAACATTGAATTCCACATAGCTCCACACACCTATTGTTAGTAAAGTGGCCCACAATTGGAAGTTTAAGCCATGAAGTAATGATGACGTCACATACGTTAGGAAAACTGCTGCAAACGTACCATGGGGTTTCAACGCCCGGAAGATGTCTATTAAATGTACGAAACGGGTAAGAAATTATACAAAAAAAAATCTTGATTGTCATACATACATTGCTTCAAAAAATTATGTATTGGTACATTCCATGCTACTACAACATACACGAGTGATCTGGGAAATTCGATGCTCCATGGTCTTACAACCGTATATCCAAAATATCGCGTATGCTTGACATTTAATGATCTAATTGACTCTTGATCATTTGTTGCCAATCCTGCCGAGACCATTGTAGCTTGTGATAAAAATGATATAAAATAATGGCTCATTCGAAATGAAAATGCAGTGCCATATGCGACTATCCATCTGAAAGGAAAAAAAATATGCTTTAATGTTTGCCAACTACATCATATTCAAGCAACCTACTTCCATGAATGCTCTAGATTAACCGTAGTATCAGCGCAATTTGAGAACAGTAAACATAGGATAGAAAGCATAATATTTACTATTATCTGCGCAAGGTATTTGAAATTCTAAAAAAAAAAAAAAATAACGAAGTTTCAATGTGCTGAATAAATGCATCACGTCCATTAGAATAAATCCTACCAGTTTGAATCTACTTCTGGCCCTTGTTAAACTATTCAGGTACTCGGTGAAGGACGTCCAAGGTCCAAAAATGCAGTTGGCTGGGCAACACATATAACCAAGAAATGATATTATAGAAAATTGATCTCTAAGTGATCGGTTGACTTTTATATCGATTGCTAATGAAATAGATTTCATAACTGCAATCATTAAAACGCCTCGTACATGATGCCATACTTTAGGGTCTTTCTCCAAAATTTCACTGAAACAAAAGGGTTATAATTTCTCATATTATTTACGTAATTGAAACATATTTACCATATTATTAAGTACATCATAGCATAAAGACTAATAATAAAATCGAATCTCAGTAGTTTTTGTTCAATGAACGATACCTTGATCAACAAATAAACAGACACAAATAATTGAAGTAGGTAAGAGTGTCCATGTTCTAAAGTGTTATGCATCAAACATAAACCACATCCGAAGCTAAAAGCATGTGTAATATTATGATGCGATGGAAAGTAACGTGCTGAGAATGAAAAAAAAGTATTATAGAACAAGCTAACCGTTACTTTTAAATACGAACCTTGGATTTTGCTAATGAAACACAGACCAATGTTTACAACGACAAATGGCAACATATAAAATGATATTTGGAAGAATGAAGGAACAATGCAGTTTGTATACATCTCTTTCCAACCGGCACTTTCATCTGAAACGAAACGATATTAATTTGGTTATCTAGGTTTACAGGTGGAATACAGTATGCTAGTTATATTTGTTAATTGTTTGATTTTATGACCTAGTTGGCACTGAATGGAACCAGAATGAAAATTAGTTTTCTGAATTTAAACTCCTTATTAGACACAAATAAAAGAGCAAACTTTGACCAAGTATTTAATACTAACAATTTGCAACATCTCTGTAACTGTAGTCATCATATGTGTCGTATAAGTCATCATTTTCATCGTAAACATTATAGAGATACTCTGACATTTTTATTAAGAAATACCGTTGAATATTAATACTCAATTTTTTGGTCACGCATTGATTAATGCACGGTTAATGTTCAAGACTCCATTGATACGGTTGTGATACGATTTGACAGCTGACGCCGACACAAACAAAAATTATGTTATGGGCCATTCAAAAATGACGTCCATGTATTGTAAGGGGGGGGGGATAAAATAAGACGTGACGTCCAACAAGAAAAATATGAATAATTATTAATTATGATAATTATTAATAAGACCATTCAAATAAATTACATAATCCTATTTGTGTAAAGACACGTTTAAACATAAAATTATCACATACTTTTGAAAATTGTACTAAGTAGTATTTTTTTTGCTAGGTTTGACATCCAAAAGTAGTCAATTGTAATATCATGTGACAGAATGGAGGGCCAAAAAATGCTAAATGACACATTTGAAACACCTCTACACGGCGAAACGAAACAACTCATAATCGAGATTGAAAGTACTTAAAAATAAGTATTTCTCTAACACTAATGTTTTGGATACATTTCTGTTCTCATTGATGAGCACTTTTAACTTAATCTTGCAGTATAACCAAAACAGTTACTTTTACTTTGAAAGTATCCAAAATAACTAGTTAATTTCACGTTATGGTACGTTATAAGTTTACTGTTCCGGAGAGGAAAAAAGTAAGTACTACATAGTTCTACTAAACCGTAATAGATTTCCCGGAAAGTGGCCGTAATTATCCTCGAATTAAACATAATTCCTTTTTAGGTGCGGGCCAAAACATATCTTGTGGGCAAAATTGCCACCACCAGCCACCGATGACTCCACTGTTAGGAATATAACCAGCATCCAAAGGCAGTGATCAATGAAGGTAACGACATTTAATTTTTTCGATCCAGTTTTCAGGATGATTAATTTTTGCTTCTTTTTTTTATTTTATTTTTCCACAAATACTGATCAATCAGGCTGAATTTATGAGTCTGCTATGTTTCGTCGAGTGTACCAGCCGGAATCGGGAGAAGTTTGGTCAACCAACTCAACACGATGGATTTAGTAGGATGTGATTTATTGCTTATTCAGGGACAATATGTGGATAGATTTTATTGTAATAAAGATAAATAAAGCCGAACATAACATTGATTTTTAGTACTCATCACAAATATAGAAAACAACTGAAAAATCCCCTTTTCAACTAAATTTTCTATAATGAAAACCAAGTTTTGTGTAGTTTTTATCCAACATTCACTCTTCCTGAAACAGTTAAATTCTACTCAAAACGAAGTCTTTGCAAAATACTCAAATTTGGATTGTTCGCAAAGAACTCAATTTTAACTGGTTTCAGTTAGGTGTCAAGATGAGTACAAAAGACTTAATTTTAAGTTGTTTCGTTTCTCCGTGTATGATATTTTTACGACAGGAGTCAGTCTACACGTTATTTTGAGGCTACTCAGTAACTGGGTGGATCGCACTCATTTTTGCATGCTGTATGGAGTTGTCAAAAAATGAGTAAACTGATTTTGGATAGGGGAAATGTTGGCTTCGGCAATACCTTAACCTATTATCGTCAGGGGGTAAACAACGTCCTTGAGAGCTCAATTTTGGCATGTGGATACATTGTGTTTCAGAGCATATATTGGCCAAATTTGAGTGCTCTAGGGCTTTGTTTACCCCCCCTGACGATAATAGGTTAAGGTATTGCCGAAGAAAACATTGCCCTAAATGATTTTGATATCAATTTTTCCTAAGTTCAAAATGGCGTACTTTGAAGTTGTGAACAGGCGATTTTTGCGCAGTGAGTCAAAAATCAGTTTTTCGTAGTGAAGCAGTGAAAATGTCGCAGCTACGTAATATCCTGGATGGCGAAAGCTAACGAAATCTAAATTAGCATCTAGTTTGTCATTCATAAAACTCTTACAAGAAGATGTGTGAACGAGGTTTGTTCGAATTTTATGGAAGCCATCCACGTTGAAGCAATTTAAATATATTTGATCAATTTTTTTGTTTTGACGTACACCGAGGAGAATTTCCGTATACCATTTATGTGTGAAACCTCATATTTTTTGCAATTAGATTTCACAAATAAAACATATGTTTAGGAACATAAAAATTATTTTATTTCCCACAAATAAAATCAATGTTCTAAAATAAATGGATTTCATTTGCTTTGACTAATAAAATTTATGTGTGAGGTTTATAACAATTATTTCTCGGTTGAAAATAAATATTATGTGTCTTTTTCAAATGAAAGTCATGGTACACACAATAATGTTTACTTATCAAGTACATATACTTAACAAAACCATCGGGTAGGGGAAGTCTTGCCCTACCCGATGGTGATGCCGATTTGCCAGGGAGATTCATGACTTTCGAGAAATCATCGAAAGAAGTCATTGTTTACAAAAGCTGTTACGCCCTAATTCCAGCTCTATCTAGAATTAATAAGACCATTCAAATAAATTACATAATCCTATTTGTTTAAAGACACGTTTAAACATAAAATTATAACATACTTTTGAAAATAGAACTAGTAATTTTTTTTTGCTAGGTTTGACATCCAAAAGTGGTCAATTCAGGCATAACATTTGATAACGGCACAAAAGCATTTGTAAACAAACTTTCTAAGGCCCTTTACACGCGAACCAAAGTACGCCCACGCAAACCAAAAACATCATCGGATAGGGGCAGCTATCACCTTTCCGAAAGTTAATTAAAGAAAATTAACGAAATGGTTGGTCGGGTGCTGGCTCCTAGCTGGATCAACCTCCTTGCCAGAGTGAGAATGATCCCGCGTCTCGATTACTTTTTCGAAAGGACGTATCAGCTTTTGTAAACAACGCATTTTATCGTCGGTTTGGTGTAACTGATAGCTCGCCCACGCATACTAACACTACTATATCAGGCAGGGAAAAATTTCCCCTATCTGATGGTAGTGTTAGAATGCGTGGGTGAGCTACCAGTTATGCCAAATCGACGATCAAATGCTTTGTTTACAAAAGCTGATACGTCGCTTTGAAAAATTAATCGAGAAATACTACAGCGCAAGCTGTGTTCCAATTGCAGAGTTAAATTTAACTCGTGGTTAAACGTGACATTACGAAAGTTGTCAATATTCGAAAATCCCGGAAATTGATCGGTTTTCAAACCGAACTCAGCCACGGTTGCCAAAATTTAACTTCTAGTCGGTCAGAAATAACCACGCTCAGATAGCAGGGTTATTCGATAACTTATCTGTCACTTTTAACCACGAGTTAAATTTAACTCGCCAATTGGGACACAACCTTGGAAGCAAAATAAGGAACAATCCATAAATGACGTAGAATTTTTTTGACCAATTACCCCCTTCCCCCTCGTAGCGTGTTTTGCTAAACCTAATACATGGTCGGTCACAACCAAGGTTGCAAAGACTCATTTCAGCTAAAACAATGTTTTTCTAAATTATGAAATAATTAGATGCCATGATCAAATTTTGAATTGGTAGGATACAAGAAGAGGTTGCAAAGAATGTGTTTGACATATTAAACCTGTTTATTTCACTTCATGAGAGTCACAATCAGCGATTTTTCACAAACTCACTCACTCACTCACTCACTCAGCGATCAGCAAATCGCTGATTGTGACTCATAGAAAGCAAAATTTACAGGTTTTATGTTTCCAACGCATACTTTGTAACCTCTTCTTGTAAGTTACAAGTAAAACATGCCATCATACCATCTTTTGGTTTTATTATTCCGAAAAACATTATTTTAGCTGAAATGAGTCTTTGCAACCTTGGTCACAACTTCTGAAACCTCTCTCTCCCCCCCCCCCTCAACTACTACGTTATTTATGAAAGCTCCCTAAGCATTGGGCAACATGAAAATCAGTGCTATGTTTCAACAATGTTCCTATTCAGGTAGTGGTTCTTCAGAATGCTATAAAAAAGCACACAAAAAACGGGTTGGACATTTATGCAAAATTTCGGTATTGATCGTGAATATCTCGCGATCAGAAAATTTAGCTAGAAATTTCGAACGTTTTGTGAACGCACATCCATTATTTTGCATAAGAAAACGGGGTGTTTCTGCGGTGGGGATTTCCCTGCACAGATTACAGATTTTTGTACTAAGCACTGAAATTATTAGACGGTACCTTTATGCTTTTAGATAAGCTATGAAAGTCCATCCTACTAGGAAAATTATGCTATACAACGGTTTATAAAATCCCAGATTTTCGCTGATGGGGGCGAGGCATAGCAACCCTAATAAAAATAACCATAGACGAACGATAACCCAAATCATTGAACTATTCCACAAATGGTTTGGAAGATACCCAGAACACTTCGTTAAGCAAATTAACCATACAATTTTTATTAGGGAAGCCGTTCGATTGCATAATTCTTCAAGTAGGAGGGACTTACACGCTATTCTGAATCTACCCAGTGGCTGGGTGGATGGCACCCACTCTTGTATCCAGTAAGGAGTTGTCAAAATCTGGGTAAACTAGTTTTGTTATGACGAGTAGAATCTACCCAGATTCTGGGTAAATAGTTCTAACCGAAATTTTCCCAGAGTAAAAAATGCCGCAGGTATAAAAGGGAGATTACTGCGCTGCCAGTGAATGCATGTTACCCATTTTTGGGTAGGTTCAGTTTTGACCGATCTGGGTGGATTCTACCCAAGTTTGGGTAGTTTTGAAATAGCGTGTACAATACTAATCTCTTCACGGAACGGAAAAATTACCCAAAATTAAGTTCTTTTCACTCATCTCCCATGTTCCGTTCAATACGCTAATTTTCATTAAACCGCTTATAGTAGTTTACATTTGACTACGGCAAAAATAATTACTTACTCGTGAGTTTTGTGAGTTTGAGTCAATTGACTCAAATTTGATAAACTCACTAGTAGCGATAGTCATGAGAAAGTCGAATCTCTCGTTCCGTTTTTGACAACAACAAAAAGTGAGAGTGGGATACAAAACTCAAAATTACCTAAAATTAAGTAAATAGAACTTAAATTTGGGGTAATTTTTTTTTTCTCTATGTTAGCATAACAGGGATGCCAGATGATTTTTTCAAAAGTCTGTATGAGTGTCAAAAAATATTTCTG